TCATCCAAATCGCGACTCTCATAACCCCTAGCAAGCAAAGAAATCACGTAGTGTTCAGACTTCGTCAAAGCCGGTGCCACATTGCTACAAACAGAACTGGCCTCAAGGACAAATAACTTTCCGCGTAGCATGCGAGCCATGAGGCCTTCGATAAACTTGCACAACGGCGCTACGACCCTGCAATGAAAGAAGGCGTGACCCAGGGTCTCGACCTCTTCATCACAGCGAACGCAATTTGGGGATTTCTGCAAGCCCGCCGAACAAAGTCTTTTGGCGACCCAGAGGGCCCTACGAATCACGAAGCAGGTGAGTGATACCTCATCGTTATTGAGGCATTTCAACACGGGTACCCATGGCTATATTGAGCGAACCTCCTGCTTTGTAAGACCGCTCTCATCAATCAGTTCATCACGATCGGACCCCCTAGTTAACACCTGATATAATGCTCTACGAGACAACGCCTCGACGCCCATAAGAAGCACTTTGGAGCAATACGATATTCACGATAGAAGTAGCAATCGCCTCGGTGTAACCGGCAGGCCTCCTCCTCGCACAAGTGCACACCTATCAGGGATGGGAAGTTCTTACAGGCGTCTTCGTTCCAGAAGGCGCTCTCCTCATCCGAATCGCGACACATCGGATCTAGGAACACGATGCGAAGCATATATTGACGAATCTCAATGCTTTCAACCCAACCGCAAGCCAACAGACTTATCGCAGTTGATCTTGGCCCCTGTCACCATCTCGTACTAACCGATTTCTTTGCTAACTTCATCAGAATAGGCAGAATACCTGGCCGAGGTGGTAGCACTAGGTAAGTAAATACCGCGTAGGACTGGATTCGCCTGTACCTTGCGAAGGAAGGGTTCCAACGCAAGAACGTAAAGCAAAAGCGAAAGCGGAAAATCTTGACGAATGGATCAAGACAATACGAAAGGCTTCGATCGTACCCCATTCACCTCCACCAGTGCACCGGGAGTCGCATACAGAAATCGGATCCTGGTGCGAAAGTACGGCCTGAAACCTGTTGCTGAAAGAACAGCCTCCAGAAATCGATGGTCAATCCTATCGAAGGCCTTGGACTGTACTAAATTGATCAGCGCGGCTTCACTATCGACTTGCTAGATGATTCAGCATACCAAGTCTGTTCGGAACCAATCAGACTAGAGAGGACAACCTGCAAATGGTTAGCTAAGATCTTGGCCAAAAACTTTAACTCTGTATTTAACATAATTAAAGGGTGAAAGTTACCTAACACATTCCCACCATTCTTGTCCTTGCATAGCAACTTGATCACACCCCTGGTGAAGCGTTGAGTTACAGAACCCTGCTTCATTCAGCTGTTAAAAATCAGTGACAGCAAAGGAACACAAACAGGCTACTGCCTCAAGTACACTTCATAGAGAAGACTATCTAATCCCGGAGATTTGCCCAGGCCAATCTGCTTCAATGCTTCCCAGATTTCCGACTATGTGATAAGACCCATGCACCTAGCCGCTTAAGCTGCCTCAAGGCACGGAAAGTCAGCTAAATATGACAAAAACGAAAAAACGTTAAAAAGGAAATGAAAAAAATTAAATATACGTTACAGCTAAAAATAAGACGTATAATAATCACAAATTTAAAAACGAAATACAGGAATATACAAAAAAAAACGGTTACACAAAGTAATACAGACAAAAAGGAAAGAGGTTTAACAACAGTAAAAATAAAATGAAATGCTATAACAAGAAATACGAAAATAGTAAGTTACAAAAACAAGATGGCCGCCGTAAAAACGAATCTGATCAAAAATATGAAAAAATAAAATTAAGAAGAAAAAACTGACATATTAAAGAAAATAAACAAGAAAAATGAGAAAAGGTGAACAGACAGATGATTATACAAATAAAAACACAGAAGATTTAATAGTTATTTAACGGGACGACAAAAAAAAAACAAAGAACAAAAGTAATACAAGAAAAATAAAGATACGTAAAATTGATAGGTAGAATAATTAAAATTGAAAAATTACAAAAAATTAAACGGAGAATTATACTAAAAATAAATAACTTTAAAAATAAGAGAAAAATCAAGAAACTAATAAATGAATAAAATCAAAAAAGTAAAAAATAAAAAAACGAGTGGAGGATAAAAAAATGAAAAAAAGAAAAAAATTCCAACTTTTGCAAAAAACAGTCAGTAAAAAACGTAAGAAAAAATCAATAAAATCAAGTTAACGTAACCGAAGAGTTGTACATTCAAAATAACAATTCAAGAGTTGCAGAAATACATCTGATGACAATCACCGGTTGTAAAAGGTCACCAGTGGTAAAATCCAAGTGAACATATTCACTAATCTCCCCAAGCAGTCAGATGTGGTACAAGGCCGAATTTAATGTAGGTAAACCGAGCCCGTAGGTTCTGGCAAAAATTCCCCGTAGACACTGTATACACGGGGTCAGGTAGCTGTCTACCTCCCACAGACGAGACTCTGTTCTTCGACATAGCCTTGTCTGGGTTCCTCTCTGTCTGGAGGCAGAGAGTTTGAAAGTGAAACCCAAGAGAATCCTCATAGACAGTATATTCCACCGTAGTTATGAGGATTGGGACATATCCATTACAGTCCAAAGGTAAAACAGTTAGCTATGCCAATGTTTGTCCAGTAACACTGATTGATTTTCCTTCTTTTCTCAGCTTCAAAATACTTTGCTTTTCTCCCATAGACAGCTCTCTCGTTTTCATGTTGGTTTGTCCTATTTAACAAGAAATACAGTCTTTACAGGGGAAAGCCAAG